GTCCCAGGTTCGGTTCTGGTCAAGGGCATGTACCTGGGTTGCAGGCACATCCCCAGTGGGAGATGTGCAGGAGGCAGCTGATCGATGTTTCTCTCTCATTGATGTTTCTAGCTATCTCTCCCTTCCTCTCTGTAAAAGATCAATAAAATATATTTAAAAAAAATTATCTGTTATGAAGTGTTATTGCAAGTGTCCAGAACACTTTGTTCAGGAAATACATGCTTCACTGTTATCTCCCATTAATCATACATATCAAAGTAATTCAAACTAAATGTTGAGAGCCCTGGGATGTACTTGGTACTATATGTAAAAAACACAGGTTCTCCTTTTTAAGTGTTAAAACTAAGCTATAAGAGCACTGATCTGAAAGATAATGGAATTCTAAGTAGTATCAACATTGCACGTAAGAACAAAGAAAAAGGGGTTCCTCAAGTGGAAATGAAGGTATCAGAAAGAGCATTAGGTAGAAAGGAACATCAAGAGTAAAAACTTGAAAGCATAAAGAAAATGATTATATTCAGGTAAGCAGAGCTGTGGTTAACTGTTTTGGAGTGGTAAATGACAAGTGTGAAAAGAAAAACTAGGTTGAATTGTAAAAAAAACCCTGAATGCCACTCTAAGGTTTAACACCTTCAGGCAATAGGGAACTTCTCAAGGTTTAATATGTTGTGATATAATTCTAATTTAGGTTTTTAATAGACATCTTTAGGAAGAATAAAACAGGGTGGGGAAAGATAAGTAAAAGGAAATCAGACAGTTATACCACATGTTAATATTCTGCTATGGACTGAATGTTTGTGTCCCTCCCAAAATTCTTATGCAAAGCTTAATCTCCAATGTGATATTTTAATGTGGGGTCTTTGGGAGGTAATTAGGTCAAAAGGGTGCAGCTTTCATGATTAAGAGTAATGTCCTTTTTGAAAGAGATCTTAGAGAACCCTTGGCCCATTACAATACGAGGACACAGCAAAAAGATAGCCCATTATAAATAATAGGTCCTCATTAGACACCAAATTTGCTGGCACCTCAATCTTGGACTTCTCAGCTTCTAGACCAGTCACAAACAAATCTCTATTGGTTATAAGCCACCCCGTTTATAGTATTTTGAGTAGAGGAAGACACTGGATGAGAAATGACTTGATAATGTCAAGGGGTCCATGAGGCCAAAATTATTTTCAAGATAGTAAGATTATTTGCCTTTTTTACAGTGTTGACATTTGCACTAATGGTAAAAGTGCTGGCATCACCTTAGCACAAACAAAGGTAGTGGCAACTGAACTGCCCTAGTAGTCACTGTATTCTTCACAGGCATTTGTAGTAAGTACTAGCAGTAAAAGAAGAAATAAAAATGTCACTCCCCATATGGAAGTGCACTGACCACCAGGGGACAGCTCCTGCATTGAGCGTCTGGCCCCTGGTGGCCAGTGTGTATCATAGCAACGGGCCATTCTACCGTTCAGTCAATTTACATATTAGCCTTTTACTATTATTACTAGAAGCCCGTTGCACAAAGATTCGTGCAATAGGCCTTCCTTCCCCGGCTGCTGGCATCGGTTTTCTTTTCCTCCGACATCTGGGACCCAGGCCTTTGGTCCGGCCACAGCGAGACTTGGCTTCTCCACTGAAACCAAGCCTCTTCAGTCTTCGTTCTGTGCCTGCATATGCAAATTAACTGCCATCTTTGTTTGGTTAATTTGCAGTGACTATGATTGGCTGTTGGGCATAGCAGAGTGACACCAATTTGCATGTTTCTCTTTTATTAGTGTAGATATAGGATGTCCCTATTTCCCCCCTTTTGCCCCCTCTACCAAGCTCTTGCCCCCCACTTCTCTCTGGCTATCACCATACTGTTGCCTGTGTCCATGGATTGTGCATATATTTTCTTTGGCTAATCCCTTCTTTATAGAATTTAGATATTTTTTAATTGAACCCTTGTAAATGTTAGCGCAATTTAATAAATTATGCTAGAAGCAATTAGGAGATTTTTCATGTAATGCAGATACATTTCAATTAATATTTTATTAATTTTTAATTTTTTAATATTTTAATTTGAAATAATCTCATACATGTAAAAAAAACTCTATAAAATACTAAAGCATATTGTATGTACCCTTCAGTTAATTTCTTAGGTGTTAATAATTTAAACATAACCATTATACAACTAACAGAATTTGGAATATATTTTTCTTATAATCTCTTTAATGTTACTTAAGCCATTTACTTTGTTTCTGTTAAACTTCACCAAAGGATATCTTTCCATTAAATTTTAGAGAGAGTAAAGGGAAAGGGAGAGACACATTGATTGGTTGCCTTCTGCACATGCTCTGATAGGGACGGGTGATCAAGCCAGCAACTGTGGTACATGCCCTTGACTGGAATTGAACCTGGGACCCTTCAGTCCAAGGGCTAATGCTCTATCCACTGAACAAAACAGGCTGCAGCTTAATTCACTTACTTTTAATCTATATGTGTCTTTATATTTAAAGTGGGTTTTGTTTTTGATTCACCCTCATTATGTCTTTAATTGGTGCATTTATGCTACTAACTTTCAGAGTGCTTACTGATAGAGTTACTGCCATATTTGGTGGCTTCTGGGGCTTTCGGGGCCCGCCAGCGGCACGGGACCAATCTGGTCCCAGGCGGCAGTCAGCTCCTGGTGCTTGCGGGGCCAGCCTGCCTAGGGCCCGGGACTGGATTGGGTCCCGGGTGGCAGGCAAGCGGCTTCTAGGGTTGCTCACGGGGGCCTGGATGGTGGGCTCATGCTATCCCACCTGCCTGCAGTATGCAAATTAGCGGCCATCTTCGTTGGTGGTTAATTTGCATATCTTGCTGATTAGCCAGTGGGAGGCATAGCGAAGGTACGGTCAATTACCATGTTTGGCTATTAGTAGATAGGATACTGTAAATGGGAGATGGTGATGTAACCATGAAACGACATATGTTGAGTCCTACGTAACCTGAGGACTGCCTGTATAAAGTTCTGAGCTTTTAAGAGAAAAGTTTGGAAAACTTGAACCCACCATTTTGAACTGACAGCATTTTCTGATGAGATTTGTGGTGGTAGCACCAAATGCCATTTTTGTTGTCATATAACAAAACATGTCAACATTTGAAAACTTGCATAAAGCAATGAATCGATTATTTTGCAAATCGCCAAGGCACAATTTTACAAAAGGATGCTTGGGAAAAAGATTCATTCAAAGTTTAAGAGGGTATGAAAGGTTCATTTATGGTTTCAGATTCCCTACTGCAGCTATCTTTTAAGAAACTATCACAGGTCAAGTTTTGGTGGTATATCAAAGAACACTAGCTGCAGTTTACCTGGAAAAAAGTACAACTTTTTCCTTTTCCAACGATGTTTTTGTGAAGCCAGATTTTCTCTTTCTTTATATGTGTGTGTGTATATACAAATTTTTTAATCCTCACCTAAGGATATTTTTTCCAATTGATCTGTAGAGAGAGCGTGGAAGGAAGGGAGGGGAGAAGGAGAGGGAGAGGGAGAGGGAGAGACATCAACATTGACATTGATGTGAGAGACACACTGGTTGCCTCTCACTTGCACTCAGTCCAAGGCTAGGGATCAAACCTGCAACTAAGGTACACGTCCTTGACTGGAAATCAAACTTGTGACCTTTTGGCTTGCTGGCCGATGCTCTAACCACTGAGGAAAAACCAGTCAGGGCAGATTTTCTCTATACAGCCAAAATTTATTGAATGTAGAATCTTGTGTGTCTATATTATAAATGTTAAAGAGATCTGCAAAAAGTACAACAGTCACTCTAATTTTTTCTTTAAAAAGTTTAGTTTTGCTTGGCTGGTGTGCCTCAGTGGTTGAATGTCGACCTATGAACCAGGAGATCATGGTGAGATTCTTGATCAGGGCACATGCCCAGGTTAAGGGCTCCATCCCCAGTAGAGGGTGGGAAAGAGGCAGCCAATCGATGATTCTCATTATTGATGTTTCCATCTCTCTCCCTCTCCCTTCCTCTCTGAAATCAATAAAAAAAACCATATTTTTAGAAAGGTAGTAGTTTCTAAGTTGTGTTAACATGAATGGGCTTACTGTCATTTTTAAATTTTAATATGGCCGCCCTAGCTGGTTTGGTTCAGTGGACAGTGTCGGCCTGCGGACTGAGGGGTCCCAGGTTTGATTACGGCCAAGGGCACATGCCCAGGTTGTGGGCTTGATCCCCAGTGGGGGGTGTGCATGAGGCAGCCAATCAATGATTCTCTCCTCATGTTTTTATCTCTCCCTCTCCTTTCCTCTCTGAAATCAATAAAGATATATTGAAAAAAATTTTTTTTAATATGGCCTACATTAATAGCTATGACCAATATAATCAAACACTATTTTGGGGTTCTCATATTTTCTATTAAGTATAAAGAGGTCCTAATATCAGCAAGTTTGAGATCTACTGGTTTAGCAAACCTTCCAAATTTATACAGGGATGTCACGTGGAAAAGGCAATAAATTTATTTAGTCTTACTCTAGATACGATAAAAAGTTATAGAATCATTTAATTTATCCAGTAATACAAAAAACAATCTCAAAAGAACAGCAAGTGGTGTCATTTGCAAATATTCATGCATTAGAGAATCAATCTATAGGTTGCATGATGACCTTCCAACTTAAGTCTTAGGAGAGACTAGTGAAAAGCAAAACTAGAATTCAAGTCAAAGTTTCAAGTAAGGGTCTTCCCATAGTACTAATGTAGTGCTCAAGTCCCAGTGCCTTTCTCCTGCCCCTGAATGTTTTCGGGTTTTAAAGTAGCAATCACCTACTTAGGCCCATACCTTTTTTCCATTTATGCATGTGTGAACGATTATTTACACACTCTGCTAACAGGATTGGTTACTAAAACACAGTTTAACCAGAAGCTGCAAGGTGAAGAGTCAGTAAATTATGAAGGATGTGGCATACCGAATTCATCTTTGTACAACTGAATAGCAAAAGCAATCTATCTAACCTGTGTCTAGAAGATGAAGGAGTCCTCCTCCTCCTAGAGCGTGATCTTGATCTTGAGTGCCTTCGTTTTTCTTCTTTTTTATCTGGATTTAAAAGAAAATAAATCTCGATTTTAAAACCATCAAATAGATTAATCTGATTCAGGAATTAATGTAATCCCATTTAGGAATTGGGTAAGAATTTCATCATCTTAATTTTCAGCATTTACATAAATTCCTTAAATATCACAAGTGATCATTTTACAATCAAAACTTTGAAGCTTACTGAAGTGACACAAATTATCCAGGGTTTTGATAGATTCAAATTAGACTTCTGATTTTGGCTAGCCAAATTGACAATTTCATTTTCTAGACTCAGGAGTCTGATAAGTGTTGTTCATAAAATAATCTATGAAGAGTTATCTTTTTCACCCTTTATTCTTTAAAGTTTTATAAACAAGGAGTCCCTTTTTCCACTCCTAGGTACTACTTTCACAAATTTCACTACATTTCACTGAGATTAATACGTTAACCCTTTGGTCCATGAGCAAACATTCCAACCACTGAGAAAACCAGCCATAGCGTCACAATCTGTCTTTCCTCTTCCTCACCAATGTTTAACTGTGTAGAGGAAATAGATCTAGAATGATTTGTCCCATTTCCTAGTTTTTAAATAACACATAACAAGAGAAATAAAGCCATTACACTTATGAACAATCATCTCAGTGAGAATGAGTCCTCTTTCACATTCAGAGCCTTTCATTAACAGAATTCAAATTACTGTTAATGTCATTATTAATAATTTAAAAAACAGTGGAGAAAAAAATTCATACAGAAACCACTTTTAGTCATTCTGATTATAAGTTTTCACTGAACACAACTACAGCACGGTGTTCTAGCTTTGGTGTCAGTGATCCAGTTGTGTACTGAAAGTATCACGTCCTGTTTGACATGTTACCTTGGGATAACATTTTGTTAAATGAGGTAACACACATAAAGCACTTAGTATTAATTCATCCAATATTGTATATAAATTATTTTTCAAAAGCTCTACCTACTAAAAATTCTTCCTACTTACTAAGAAGTAACAGTGAAAAATAAAACACTATTTAATGGGGGAATCAAAGATTGAAACACAGGCCAACAGTAGGATAACCATTCATTCCATCTCAAAAGATAATCTGCAAAAAATAAGGTCTGCTTTTCTTTACACAAATGGCATCAACAGAAGCATCATCTCTTGGTCAAATAATAGACTAAAATCAATTAGGCTATCCCCATATAATAAACATGAATTATAAAAAACAACCCCAAACTACAAATTAAAAAAACAAACAAAAAAAATCACACTAATTATTAGATAATCCTAGGCTCTACTAACATTTAGGAATGGATCATTTGAAGCAGGGGTGGTGCCTGTCCTGTATGGTGAAGGATGTTTAGCAATATCCCTGACCCTCTGCCCACGAGATACATTTGGTAGCAGCACAACAACTAAGTGTCTCTAAATATTTCCAAGTATGTCTGGGTGTCAACTCCAACCGGCCTCCCCCACACCCCTACTGAAAATCACTCCACTAAATGATCTTCTATCAGAATTTGAAAAAATTAAAAAATGACTACAGTATTAAGTCAAAAACTTTTCAAACTCATGCACTAATCATATTTGCAAACAATCATGTAGTTTAATATTCAACACAAGTGCATTAACGTTTTTTACCTGGCTCTATGGCAGCAGATATTAGGGACTGTGCTTCTCGTGCTCTCTTCATGGCTTCCTCTATTTCTTTACTAAAGGTATCTGATTTCAGACTTGGTGAAACAAGACCAGCAGCTACATGATTCAACCTGAAACAGAACCAAGAATTGAGATAGGAAACATTTTAAAATGCACAACAGCATTTCAAATAAATACGTTTCATATAACATTTTTAGTAAGACATTCCTTGTGAAAAAAGGGGAGGATTCCTTTTTTTTTTTTTTTTTTGGTAAAACCATACATAATATAAATACCCTTTTGAATATTTAAATGCCACCTGCATTTTAAAGACTCAGGATATCTGAAATAAGAAAAATGCCTTCTTAAACCTGAATGAACATTCATCCAATTTCCATAAACACATTTTGAGAAATGCTAATACATGGAAATATGCTAATGCTAACGATTTTTGAATAATGAAACTTTTCTTCATATGACTTAAAAACTTTCTACATCATAATTCTGTTGGGGAAGAGCATTTTAAGTTTGTGGAAGAAACTGGGGCAGAGGCTGATGGCACAACAAAGTTACTCATGAAATTCCTGGTTGGAAAGGCTAAAGATACACTTTTAAAGGGTTTATACATGTGAGAAAAAATTAGACACCAAATTTAGGACAGTAGTCATTTGTGGGGAGAGTGGGAAATGTAACTAAAAAGGGTACACAGGCAATTTCAACTTTATTGATATTTCATTTTATAAGCTGGGTGACAGGTACCCACTTGAACTTTGTCTCGTTTTTAAGAAAACAGTCCACAAAGTACTACAGCGAAATAATCCTGTCTTCCCTTTTCCCATACTCTTCCACTTATTGATAGTGACTTCCACCAAGGAGAAAAAGGTTTCAGTTCAAATTTAACATACTGACAAATTACATTGAAAGTAACTATGACTTTGTTTTATGTATACCAAGTAGGAAATAGAAAAGTGACAGCATGAAGAGAACTTTTCAAAGCACCTAAAAGATGTTGGCCATTATGATGGTGACATATGCCAGTCCTTGGCTCTAGGATTGTTTTTCCCTCATTTATGTCTCCTAACTCCTATTCATCCCCTAGGGCTCAGCTTCTCTGATCTTCAAACTAAGTTCTTATAATAAGTTCTTTCCATAGCACCCCTGTACTTCATCTAGTTGGATCCACATGCTTTAAATAACATCTCCCCTCCAAACTAGTGTATAAATGCTATAAAGATACAACTTTATAGTAGGCATTCAATATGTACTTTAAATGAATCAACTAAAAATAGTTTTTAACTCTATCCCCATTATTTTGGTATAAGTTATTTACAATTATTTTGAAATACTCAAATTACACTAAGACAAAATCCTCTTATTGATGGACTCACCACTGGATTTTTCTGTTTCTAGAAAACTGAATTACGTATTGCATGCCTTGAGATAACTTTCTTTTTAGCTATCAAAACACTGTTCTCTAGACATTCAAATACTATATCCATATCATCAATGGAAACACAGAAAAAACCTTACTTGGGATCAACAGTACTCATAAGCTTCAGCAACTGATCTGCAGCAAGAGACTAAAAAAAAAAAAAAACACCACAAAATATAACAACAGTGAGAATACATAAAGCAATAATGATTTCCTTTTATTTTTCTCAGGATGTTGAAATGTCCTAGGAGACCCTGGCAAACCTAAAAAAGTAACATACCAGGCACATCAATGACCAACAGAAATACAATGCCAGTTGAATGTCAGTTAAGTTTTCCAGTAGCCACATTAAAAAATAAAACAAAAAACAGATGACATTAGTTACTATAGTATTGATTGGATACTCAAAGGTGCTTTATCCAAGTTAAATATCCTATACTAGAGGCCCAGTGCATGAAATTCCTGCACTGGGGGGAGGGGGGTGGGAAGGGAGGGGGGAAGAGGGTGTCCTCTCAGCCTGGCTGAGACCTTTCACAGTCTGGGAGCCCTGGGGGGATGTCCGACTGACATGGATGTGGAACAGGCTCCCGCTACCGCTGCTGTGCTTGCCAGCCATGAGCTCAGCTTCTGGCTGAGCGGTGCTCCCCCGTGAAAGTGCACTGACCACCGGGGGCAGCTCCTGCTTTGAGCGTCTGCCCCCTGATGGTCAGTGCATGTCACAGTGACTGATCGTTCCGACGCTGAACCAAAACTGGCTCTCCAACATCCCCTGAGGTGTCCCAGATTGTGAGAGGGCACAGGCCAGGCCGAGGGACCCCACTAGGGCTTCAGGGTGTGTCTGGCCTGTCTTGCTCAGTCCCAAATGGCTGGACCCCAGCAGCAAGCTAACCTACCAGTTGGAGCATAATAAAAGCCTAACCGTCCGGTCACCCAGTTGGCCATTCAACCAATCACAGTATAATATGCTAATGATATGCTAAGACCACTCAACCATTCACTATGATATGCACTGACCACCAGGGGGCAGATGCTCTGACTGGTAGGTCAGCTTGTTGCTGGGGTCTGGCTGATATGGACTGAGCGAGATGGTCCGGACATACTCTGGAGCCCTCTCACAGCCCCTCCCTGGCTGGCCAACCTCCTGTGAATTCGTGCACCAGGCCTCTAGTGAAGATTATAAAACTGAACAATCTACTTTTTATAGAAAAACTAGAGGCCCAGTGAACGAAATTCATGCACTGGTAGGGTCCCTAGCCGCTGCCCGTTTCCAGCCAGGGCTTCCCTCCCTTCCCATAGCCGCCTGCAGCAGCTACCGGTCAGGGCCTCCCTCCCTTCCCTTGGCCAGCCCTGTCCCCACCCCCTGGTCATACTTCTGGAAGAGCTCAGGTTGAGGGGACAATTTGCATATGCTTTTATTATACAGGATTACCTCCTCCATATTTAAGACTTTATGAGGGAAAGTAATACTTAAAAGACACATGTAAAACACAGCTCAAAGTACTAAGCCAATATAACAAATCAAAATATTTTCACCAAGGATGTCCAAAAAGGTTCAGCCAATTACAATGCGAGAAAATTTCCAAGTGAGCAAATGACAGAAAAAAAAAGTCTCCATAACATATGATGTGTTAAATTTCTGTGAAACTACTCTCTACTTTTAACTATGTAAAATGAAAAATTTTTGCCTTGGCCAGGTGGCTTAATAGGTTGGAGCCATTGTTCTGTATACCAAAAAAAGTTGCAGGTTTCGATTTGTGGTCAGGGCGCATAACCTAGGTTGCAGGCTGGATCCCTGATTAGGGTGTGCACAGGAGGCAACTGAGTGATGTTTCTCTCTCTCTAAAAGTCAACAACAAAAAATCCTTGGATGAGGACTAAAAAAATAAAATAAATTATATAAAGTAAAATTCTTTAATGGGTTAATAGGCTAATAATGCAGTGATCTTTTAAATCTTTTTAACAAGACTGTATGAGAAAAAATACTACACCATAGTAATTAGTTATCTTCCACTTTTTAAATGCCCAGTAGTAGTTATAAATAAAATAAAGTCTTTAATTATAATGAGCTCAAATTTGAAGGGTACTGAATTATACCTGAGAGTTCAAGTTTGCTCCAGGAAGCCCAAGTGCAGCAAGGGCCGGATCAAGAGTAGGAGCTCCCAAAGCAGCCAATGGAACAGCGCCAATCTGTGAAATTACAAATTTTATTTAAAATTTCATTTGTTCCTTATAGAGTGTGTGTGTGTGAGAGAGAGAGAGAGATGTGTGTGTGGAGGCTGTCACGTTATTTTGCCCTCTAAAGAGCAAAGAACTAAGTTTAAGTCCATAGGCTATATGCTGTCTGTTGCAACTACTTGACTTTACCATTATAGCCTGAAAACAGGCATATACAACAAACAAATGGACATAGTTTGCCTACCTCTGGCCTCATTTTCCACATGTCATTATAACACCTGTATCCCTACAATAAGAATTTAGGGGGAAAAATTCAATATATTCTTGTGCCAATAAAAAATATTTGTCTCTTAGCTCCAAATCCAGTTCTTTGCCCTGTTTTGTGATATTGAAGATAGCTGATTCCATCTGTCACTTCTCCATTGACAGATGGAATCTTAAAAGCTTTATCTACTGGGGGATAAGAACTGGAATGACATTGTAAAATGGGTTTTTCTTCCTTGTTTCTATGTTCCCTTTTTGATTGTTACTGTAGCACCATATGAAATACCCAGTGGCCTTCACCTCTCAGAAAGTTGCAGAGCCATCTTCTTGGGCAGCTACCTAACAAGTTCTGTGGCACCCTGGGAAACTTCTCTAGCATCCAACCCTTTCAAAGGTCTGAATTTTATGCGAGGAGCGTTGCAAAGCCCTTTCATCTAAATGTGTTTTTTCCCCTTGTACTCTTTCTTCTTCAGCCCTAGAAGTAATGGTTGCTTCCTATATCTGCAATTTATGTATTCTTACAATTCCCTTAGTAAGGTCCAGTTACAAGTTACTAATTCCTTATACTGTTCAAATTACTGTGTGATTATGTCTCCTGTCCAAGATAATTCTGATTAATCAATAATTTAAGACACAAACCACACAAAATCTTATAGCTTTGAAGGCAGTTTGACCTTCTCTATAAAAGTTCTCCTAGCTTCCAATTAATTTTTAATAAATATAAGGTTCCAAATTTTCTGCGATTTAACTATTTACTAAGTACAGTTAAAAAACTGTGTTAATACTATTATATAAGCTATTGTGGCTTTTACACAATTTTATACATCAAAGTTGTCTACAAATTTCTCAAGGTCCACATTGTATATGGGACAATCAGTCATACTCATAAAAGCTGTGAATTCCTGATCTCATTCTCCTTCATAATACATACTGTTCACTTAACAGTTAACTAAACTATTTGGACAGGCAAAATAATTTAATAAAAAGAATGTTGTTATAAAGTTCTAGTTGAGGCTCTATCATTTGCTTTATCTGTGAAACCACTGACCAGTTGCAGTCTTTCTGAGTTGTTTCAATACATAACATTTAAAGAACCTTTTGCCTCTATAATGATATGCTTTTTGTATTACCAAGTAAATTTTTCTCCAACTTGAATATTTTATTCCCCATATCAAATATATATCCACAAATACATTTTTATTTTAAGACACCTACTTAATTCAAACCCCCAGTTAAGAGCAAAAGATAAAAAAACATTGGTAAAGAAACAAGTCTGAAATTCACCTTTATTTTTTTTCCTGGTTAAAACAAACTATGCTCCATGAAATCTTTTTTCACATTACTGAGTTATTCTGAATCAGTGGCAAAACCAATGTAACAGATATTCTTAAAATGCAAACTTCTAAGAGATTCTCTTTAGGATTTATGATTGCAATAGACTTTAATATCATAAACAATGGTATCATTCTGTGAACTAGAATCACAATACTTAAAAAGCTCAAATATGTTTAGCTTTATCCACAATTCTGTGTTCCTTTCTATCCTTTAAGATTTCAACAGAGCTAGTACCTGGGTAAGTGGGTTAGGAGTAGGCAGGAGTCCACCACCAGGCAGAAGACCTGCCACTGCATTAGCTGGTGCCAACAGAGACAAAGCCTTAGTCTCATCAGGAATAACTCCTGCAGAGAAACATCCTTGCATTAGAACACACCCTTTTGCAAGACAGAAAACACACAAAAACACCCAGAAAATGTCTCCCTGATACACCACCTGAGTTTGTTGAAAGTACTTATGTTCGCTAAAATACAAAGCTTGATTTCTATTATTATTTATCATTAACTTTATGTCAGAATGAAACTTCAATGTGTGAAAGTTTGTTTCCTTTTTTTCTCTACAAATGGTTAAGATTCTAGAGTAAAAAAAATAGCACAATACACACTACTTTTTTGTTAACACTGCCAAGATTTCATCACCTGTACTCGATTTTTAAGTCATGAACCAAACGTAAGCAAGCACAGTCGGTTCTCCAGGGGTGTGCTCTCAACTTTCAAAAGCTGTTTTATGAACAACGACTCGTGTCGGCTGCTTCACTATAAAGCACACAGAAAAATCAAGATACACAAGACAAAAAAAGTTTGATTTAGGGGTTAATAATATGGTACAGTTACTATGATTTTCTTTTACACCTACCATACAAATTTTGTAAAAATTAAGAGAAGGAAAGTATGTAAAGGAAATATTCTGTTGGAATCAAGTGTAGGGCTTTTGCTGACTCATGAAAATGAATGTTTCTGAAGGTTTCTGAATACACACTGGATGTGTGTGGGGGAGTAAGAGAGAGAGAGAGAAAGAGAGAGAGAAGGGGTAAAATAACATGGCACATTCCTTACCTGTACAGTAAAATGCTTTATATTCCAGCATGTGCCATGCTAACCATACCAAAAAATGCTGCTATACAGTGTGAGTTCAAAAGCTAACTTAAGCAAACTCCTAAACTTTTTACTCGAAAACAACATGTAATCTGTTTTTAAAGCCTAAACTGTGTATTCAGATAACATCTAAGGGTCCTAAGACAAATATTTATGTACACAATTTAAATTCTATCCAACAGCAAAAGCCCTATACAGATGGATTAATCTGTTAATGTGCCCAAGCCCCCAAAATGAGAGTTCAATAATACAATTAAACTATATATTTGCAAATACCAGTAGTATTTCTGTAATACATATTAAGAAACTGCATCTCATCATAAAACATACAATATGTACAGGGCACTTAAGAGAAACTGGATAAGCTGCAGAAGAAAACTGTTGGGTGGTATTTTCAGCAGGGCCTGGTATATAGTTCAGGCTGAACCAGGGAAAAGAACTGTAAAACACAACAACAAAAAAGAAAAACCACTGTTAAATAAAGGTAATGGTTCCTTCCACCTATACTGAGAAGTGCCGATAATATAAACAAATGTATACTACACAGCACTGTTATCTTGCTTGTGTCAGAGCTGTCATCAATTTAGATACCCAGAGTTATGGAGGGGGATGGGGAGGGAGAAGATCATTTAGATATAGGGCATTAATGCATCAATATTAACAAACCTACAAAGATTATGGGATAATCTTGCATGCAAAATTATGTCTCAAGAGGATAATATTAAATATCAACATCTTATTCAAATTAGTGCATTTGCAACATATCTGGCAAACTACAATCCTCTTGAATTTATTGTGAGACACCTGATAGAAGATCTGCATCCATTAAAAAAAAGTCATGCATCTGATCCTCTGATTAAAAAAAGACTATTTGAAAATAAAACTACAATTTAAAAATAGCAATGAGGCCCCTCACCAGTTAATTTTCATGCGTCAAGAGTATTTTTTTTACTGCTGCTTTGATAGAACCATGAAATACTGCATGAATGTGTAGAAATGAAAGAAAAAGAAACAGACAAAAGAAACAAACATTAACCAAGGAACCTAAATAACCCCCAAATCCATTACTATTAAGAGCTCCTTCCAAATCCAGCTATCTCAGTTTTACCAATTACGATTATTCCTTACCGTATACTTTGTGTCTATTGTTCTAAAACATGATCAAGAAGCAACACCAAAGTGTCAAAGCTAAAACTAGGGTGAATGGTGACAAATGGATTGAGTACATCAGTTATTTAGTGGAGATAACATTAATACAGCATACCATACCATTATTAAATACACTAAAAATAGATTCCAGAACTAAGTATTTTGGTAATTCCACATACACTCCTAAATATTTCACTTTTGAAACAGATTCAGAAAAATTACCATAGTCTAAAAATATTTATAAAAGCCAATTATATTATGATATACTGTATTATGTCCAGGGCTCGGGAACTTTGATATAAAACTTAGCCAATAAGAATTATTTAAATTTAAAGGCTAATGTTTTGCACATTACTCACATGATTTGACCCTTGTTCCAAAAACTATCATCTATATTTTACTTATTCTAAATTTGAATTCTGTAAATTTTCTTTTGGTGGTAAGTCTTATCCTACAACAGGCAAACTGATATAAAAAGAATTGCTTAATCAAAACATACTAAATTAAATGTTTATCAGCATATATATTTTAAAACCTTTAAATTGGTCGACACACTTTAATATCATAGAGATAGATGTACTATTATATAGATGCCTTTACCCCATCTATGAATGCAACTTAAGTTCTTTAGAAACCAGAGGCAATTTGTTTAAGTTTTAAGGACTAGACATTTCACAATTTTTACAAGGTATGGTGTAAATGTTCACATTGGTATTCAAAGAGCTGAGAGATAGCATTTAAAGTAAACAATATCAAGATTCTGCTTCCACTGACCAGTACATTAAGGAAAGGGGAAAGCATTAAATCCTGGTCAAAATTAACTTAAAACCCCATAATTATTATCTTAATTAAAATCCAGTAATTTTATATTTCAGTTATTTCTTTGATCAAAATTTATAGATAACAAAAAGCAAATAAAGTAGCAGTACATTGGGAACAAACTAATTATAAAATATGGCTTAGAAAATTTACAAAATGGAATTAAAATAGTGCTGTCTTGTCACAGTGGCTTTTTTTTAAGATTCCCCAAACCCTGCTCATTATTTCTGTCAAGTTACTTTAACCTCCTAAAATGTAAAAAGAAAAGAAAATGTAGTTAACAAATGGTTACACCAGAAAAACACTTGGGGGACTTGAGTGCTTGCTGGCCTTTAGTTAATGTCTAGAATCCCCTGTAGCTGCAGAGGACCCACTGTTTTTCAGTCATCAGGAAGAGTTTTGCATTTGCCTTCTCCACTACAAAAATCACACACACAAATAACAGAGAGAAGAATTTATTATTTAGAGATATTCTAGAAAATATAGCAAGAATGAACAAGAAAATCTGGCAATAAAAACAAAACACCCAGTGCCCATCTGGCACCTAGGCTATAGGAAATCTTGAATTTTCATACAAACCAAAATCATTGCAACCCTTGGTATACTGGAATTCAATATGGGATCTTTTTGTAAAATTGTCAGTGAGGAAGCACTAAAAAAATAAAGCCTGGTCCTTTATTCAAAACAAATAACATCATGCATCTATTTGAAGGTCCCTGTGTAAATGTGCATGGAGTGAACCATTCACTTTCAGGACTTTTTCATAAAACTCAATGTTACATTAACTAAGTAAATGTATCTTAAGGAATTACAATTAGGGACATGGTTTTAAAGAACTTAAAAATGTTTTAAAATAATGGAATGGTTAAATATCTTATAAAAACAGATCCGATTTCTAATATTTAGAATTAAAATCTCAAGTGAAAATATGGACCACAGTATAACAAGGGTTTCAAATTGTTAATAGCTTAGATTTTTAACATGCTACTAACACTCACTCTAAAACTATACTGAGGTAGATGGTCATCATTGGATGCCCACATAGGTAGGTAAACAAAGCACAAACCTTCTGCATATGGTACGACTATCAATGCTCTGTCAACGAATACAGTGTTTGTCAGATGCTGTGCCACAACTGCTGAGTCCGGATCATGGAATTTAACAAAGCAGACACGGGATGAGACTGGCAAAGGTGAATCACTGAAAAACAAACAAATTGCATAAAAGTAGAGGGAAAGAATATCAACTAAAACGTAAGTGTATGATTCATAAACCCACACCTGCATTTCCAAAGCAAAATAGGCAGATATTAGTAACTGCACATATATTAGTTAGCTAGTTTTAAAAAATGACATCACAAATAAAGAACTATCCACTAACTCATGTAGAGCAAATTGCACGCATGCAATCATTGTTTAACTTTATAGTTTACACAGTTAAAAATTGTTTAAAACTCAAGTGTCAGAGGTTGAGCAGACCACAAAAATGTCAACACTTGAAGAAAAATAATACCAATACCAGTTATTTTTAAATACAGGTAGTAAGTAGTCTTGGCTTAGAAAACTTTTCAGAGCAAAAAATATACAGAATTCACCAATTTAGGAACAAAAGAATATTGTGGAAAAGTATATCTATTTGACAATCGAGTTTTCTTTACCTGCCTACTAAATAAAATGCCCTGTCCTCTTTCATCTATAGCATCAGAGAAAAAATTTTAAGCACACATGGCAACAGTACTCCACCCTTTAGTGTTACTAGTATGCAAAATTTCAATAAGCAAAGGAGTCACTTCCCTCAGCAAACTGCTTTCTTACAAGTTATAGCAGACCACAAGGTAAGATAAATTAAGAGAGTGCAGATTTTGTTTTGTTTTAAATATAGGGTGGTTCAAATTTCTGCCACAAAACTTTCCATCTATGAGAGGGAAAGATTAACTATGGGCAGGAGTTACTCCCTAATCCCAACCCAAAAGTTGTTTTAAAACCAATGCCCTATGGCAGCAGTAATCACATCATCCTGGTCATACATCAGAATCTTCTGTGGAGAAAAAAATACCCTGGCTCTCTACTCCACAGCAATTAAATCAAGATCTCTTATGAAGTACTGTTTTCCCCTTCTTTATTTTAATTCTGACAATTTTTATATGCACCCAGGGTAAAGAACCTCTGCCAAATGTAAGCCAATTACATTTTAAGACTCAATGAAAAGGAAAATCCTAAAGTATCTTTGAATGTTATTAGAATGAGGCTTATTGTTAATTTTCTTAATAAACTAGATTTTCAAGTGTACACAAAAATGTATTTACATCAGATTTGGTTACCCTAGGTATTGCAGAGATAAGTATTTGCTGACCCCCCCCAATCCCAATTTGTGCACTAACATGAAAATAAAACCTCATTACTTATAATGAAGACTAACATAAAGCTGTATAACCCTCAAACCCCTTAGAATTTGTAAGTTTACCCAAGGCATTGCCCTTAGATACTAAGCATAGATCCTAATCTAAGCTCAAAGCAAAGTTGACAATATATCCATCCACATAGAATTTAAGCCACCTTGTCATAGAAGCTTACTGCTAAATGTTTTTGAAAGGCTACAGTGTTTTTTAATGTAGACATAGTGTGTTTTGTTTTTTAAATATGAAGGACCACTGGTGGAAAATGTAATAATGTTACACCCAAGAGTAGTGGAGAGAATACAATTCCAGCAGTTTTAGTACTAAAGCTATATATAGCAATTTGCATTTCTTTTCTGATATCCATATTTTTACCACTAAAGAGCTCTTTAAATGCTATAGTTAGATAAGGGAGAGAACTTAGTTTACCTTAAAATTTTTTTAAGGTAAAGTAGCATATAAGTTACTTATATAATGATTAAAGTATCTATTTTTGGTCACTGAAATATTTACTTAAATAATGAAGTTAAGTTTACCTGCAGTGTTACAGTAGCCTGTAGTTACTGCACACTTTTGACATATATATGCTTTGCTGGGATCATTACCCTATCAACATTCCAGTTATATTTTCCATTATGAAATCCCACTAAAACCAAACATAGAAGAATACCTACTACGTGTAAAAGAGTGATTCCACTCAAGCTGCGAGGCTAAATCAAGAAAGTCATGATCAAGTTATAAAGGACAATCACAACACTGAAGTTCCAATACTAGGTCTGACACTGGTAGAGAGGCTTGAGTGTAAAAAACTACCTACATGAATTACAGTTCATTCATCTGTGAAATACGGTTAAATACATTCTCCCTCTAGATTTGTAAGAGCAGAGTAAGATGAAATTAGAAAGCATCTAGCACTATTTAATTTCCAACGTGCATTTTAGGAACTAGAATTAAAGTAACCATTTTTCTTTTAAAAAGAGAATAAATGGGAGGAACAATGACAGATACTTTCAATGGCTATAGGGCTGTCATAGTGAAGAGAGGGTTACAGTATCTGTTGTGAAGACAGGAAATTTTATCACTGGGTGAAATTATAAACCAGCAATTTTTGGCTTAGAAGAGCCAGGAAATAGATGGATTCAAGAATAAAACAAAGGGAGAAACCTTCTTGAGGAGGTTACCACTGAAATGTTTGGCATGATTCAGATCCCAGGATCTACCCCCCCCCCACCCCCATAGGCAGGGGCTCAATCATATATGTACTTTAAAACATGCCAACTTCCAGTCTCCCAAATTATTTATGACCCCAACCAATGACCTCATATTCTAGAAGAGGGAGAACTACACTTAACCTGTTGATGATTGGTGCCATAGAGAAAAACAAAGCAGTTAAACTGAATAAAGACGAAGCAGGTGTGCTGTATTTTTATACAGGGTGATCAGGAAACAGATTAGGTGGCATCTGAGCAACAAAAGGAAATGAGCAGAGTTCCAGGGGGATATGAATGCCTTTGGTGGGGAGGGGGATGCACACCCTAAAAACAACAACAACACACCATGTGCAAATGTGTCTATAATAGTCATAATTTTATGTAATCTGAGCCAATTAAGCATATTCTAACAGCCAAGTTTTGACATAATGAACCCTCTTGGACTACTAAGACTCCATAGCACATTGTCAACAGGAAACTACTGAAAACTGTAGCAAGCTTAAAGAAATTGTCTATCAAATATTTCCAAATTGTGCAGGTCAGATGAGCTATTGGGATGTAAGATTAGCAACAAAAGTAAACATCTACATAAGTACTATTCAATTTAGGGAAGCCACTAAGATAATACAGCATTTACTACATTGTAACTTTGTACATTTTCAGGTGAGAAAATAGTCTGTATGTGGGGAACACATATGGAGTCAAAGAGCAGAAACGTGTCAATATATAACTCCTTCTTCCAATACAGGGAATGTCCTCTTAATGTACAGTACCCCAAATCATTATCTGGTGTACATCGGCTATCCTGATTACATGATGAAACTACTCCTTGGGTTATAAAGCAAAAAGCCCTGAGTCCAGTATCCCTCTAAGATATTGACCATGGAATGGGTAAAGGATAAGCCAGAAAGCTGATTACACCTCCCTTTGTCATCTTTTAAATAAATCATAAAAAGAGCATCTTCAAAATAAACAAAACACTTCAAGGTCAGCAACTGGGAGCTGACAAAACTAAAGGTCCCTTTGTAAATGTGCATGGAGTGAACCATTTGAAACCCTTGTTATACTGTGGTCCATATTTTTACTTGAGATTTTAATTCTAAATATTAGAAATAGGATCTGTTTTTACAAGATATTTAACCATTCCATTATTTTAAAACATTTTTAAGTTCTTTAAAACCATGTCCCTAATTGTAATTCTTAATAACTTGTGGGACTGGAAAGAATTATTTTGTAAATAAATCCAGTATCTCAAATACTTTGAATATAATCAAATGTGAGACTAATTTTCTGCCATTTACTGTTTATTAATTTTACTAACAACTTAAGGAGGAATATGTTGTGAGAAAAACTAACAGGAAAACATCTATTTCTGTATGTTCATATTATGAAAGCTATTTGTCCTTCATTACCAAAGCAAATTGAGTTTCTACTCAAGATTACTACAAATACATGTTTCCAGAACTGTACACCTCATGCAAATAATTCTAAAATCTCTGTCAGGTATATTCCCCTAAATATTAAAGACAACACAACAATTTGAAAACACTAAGAATCATCTGAAAATATTTTAAATAGGAAGTGATAAAATACGATAATACCTCATAAACACCACAGTATGGTCAACTTGTATTATTTTGGTCTAGAGAGTACATAGAGTAATGATTTATCTATCACAGCCACCAAAACAGCAGATTCCTATTTCCTGTTTAGAACTAAAGTGTAATCATAAAACCAAGTGGGATGGAAGATACTGAAAGTAACATTTGAATTTTGAGAGTGCAGACTCTTTTATTCCTAATGTTTGTTCTAATAATTATCACATCTTATCCAGCGTCATAGCTTCTTTACTTTTCTTTACAATCCACTCATATACTTTTGAAATAAAAATGTGAGACAACAGGATAAAAAAATCCATATACTCTAAATTAAAAATTTAGAACTGTAAAACATCATAACTATATACATTATTTAAACAAAGGAAAACTCTAACTTTCAGCTATAACCCATTTCTTTTGTCATTAAAATTATGTACTCGGGTTCACTGATTTACTGCTGTGAAGAGTGTTAATATATTAACTATATGTATTCAGTCGGCCAGAATCCCGGAACAGCAATACCTAGCAATAAGTGAACGACCACCTACAAAGTTCAATAATAAATTTACATAGGAACGGGCAATTTTGTTACTTTCCAAAGAACTCAAAGAAATAACTTTAAAAAAAGGATTAACCAAGACACATAAAATGCAGTCATCATGCTTTAGTTGCTCAAAGAAGGACCCTGCTGGCGCGATTTAAGGAGCCGGGGGTTGGAGGTTAATCCCCGAACCCCTGGCCCTGCCGCCTTAGTCAGCCCAGCAGGCAGATGCTTCCCCAGGGGCCGCACAGCCAGCTCAGCCAAAGCTCCCGCTCCCGAAGCATCGGCAGGGCCTAGGAAATGGTGCTAGGCCCAGGCTGGGAGGAGTTAGCGAAACGGTGATGGTGGACGATACTCACTCCGGCGGGAAGAGGCGCAGTTCGTCGATCTTGCCTAGGAAACCGAAGAGGGTCCGCATCTGCTCAGAGCTAGCGCTCGGGGAGACATTAGTCACCTGGATTACCTCGGTGCCGCCGCCACCGCCGCCGCCACCACCCGGCCCGCCGCTGGGGCCCGGGCCCGCAGTGCTGGGGACGACGGTAGTGTTGCTCATGGCGCTGCTCGCTCCTGCTTTAACACATCAAACACACAACAAACAGTGAGAAGGAGGGGAAAGAGGAACCGTTTGCCGGAGAGGAGACAGGAGGGTGTCCACTGTTACAGCCGCTGCTGCTGCCTCCGCCGCCGTTTCTCCGCCCCACCGCTCGCCGGGGGGGAGGGAACAGAGCGCGCGAGTTCGAGCCCACGAGAAAACAAACGGCCTCGCCTCCAACCACCTCAATTGCGGGCCCGACTTCCCCACAATGCCTTGCGGCGCACGGGCGCGTCACCGTCGGCTCCGCCCCGCGCAGGCGCAGGCCAGCCTCGCTCGCAGCCAGGAGGTCGCGAGAGGCTCCGTGGTCTATTGAAATACGTCATCGCTTTTCGTTCCGCTCCCCACTTATTTTTTTAAAAAGTGGAATTTTTTAAGGCAATACCCACTCCCTTGCAAAATAAATATGCACACTTTAGTAACTATTCTTATTAAAAAATGCCCACAATATTTTTATATACAGATACTTCTAACTACAGATCTGTGGAGTTAACTAATGAAATTTCCACCCTACCTACCAAGATTTTCCTCTCCACCAGTATAAAATTTTCTGCATCTCGGTAACATTAAATTGTTATAATTTGCTTTGTCAGTAAACCTTCAAAAAAGGTATTTTAATGTTACATTTATTAGTGCTTTTATAAGCTAATTTTATTTCACAGGTTGACTAAGAGCACATTGTGCTGTACCTAAATATATTTAGGTATAAGATCTGAAGACTACAGAAAAAATGTTTTACATGCATATTTTTGCTTAATAATTTTCCGAAGCTTTTGACTATAAAAAGATCCTTGCATAATTTTTCAGCCACATCTAAATTATTTTCCTTTCATCTAGTGTTATTCAATGACTAGCAGTTCCCTAAACCTGACAAAATATTTCATTTCACTGTCTTTATACAAGTTATTAATGACCTCCCTCATTTTATCTGCCATCTTTTGTAGGGGTTTCTTCTCTCACTGCCACAACTTCTCTGCGTAACAACAAGGGATACGTTTAACTTGTTATGTTGACATGCACCCCCTGTGAATTTTCTGGATCAGTTTAGGACCTAGCACAATGTCTGTCACACAGTCAATACCTAATACATATGTTGAACACGTGCCTTAATAAAGAGCCATTTATTCTATGACAATTGTTTAATAATTTACCTGATCCTGAATATTTTTGGAGGTTAACACCTGAGGCTTTATGGAATATTTTCATTAGTAAATACCTGTGTGAAATAATGCAGTTAAGAGTATAATTTGTGAGAGATCAGAACACAAAGTTATTGAGATTTGATGTAGAGCCAACTGGCCTAGTCTACTTACTAGCTAAGTTACTTCTGCTAGCTCTTATATAGAACAGGATGGGTTGGTGAATGTAAGCCTCAGCAAAATTACAAATTACAACTAAATCTATGTCATTCACAAATGTGTATCTCTGAATAAAAAATGTAACTTACCATTTTGAAAATGACATATTTAACTGCCAATTACAGATTCTTAACAGTTTGATAAAAATAATTTGTGTATCATGCCCAGCCAGTGTGCCTCAGTGGTTGAGTGTCAAACTATGAATCAGTTGGTCATGGTCCCATTCCAGGTCAGGACATATGCCTGGTTTGTGGGCTCGATCCCCAGTAGGGGATGTGCTGGATGGCAGTCGATCAATGATTCTTTCTCATCATTGATGTTTCTCTCCCTCTCTGAAATCAATAAAAATATATTTTAAAAAAGATCTCATATATAAAAGCAACCACCTCCCAGGATTGGGAGCATTGTAAGAGATAATATGCACTTAAAGTATATTGTGATTATTATCTGGTCCACATAAAATGGGACCAGAGAGGGGAGTGGAGAAGACAATCAAAATTAGTGTGTGGAGAAGGGATCATAGCTGATATGACTCATTGGGTTTGGTCTCACCTGCCTGGGGCCAGCGGGTTTTGTAGCACAGGCCTGCCTATTGGGTTAGGGAGTAGGAATCCTCTTCATCCACCACTCCTAACCACAGTCATCAATTTTACTTCAGACTTTAAAATACCTAAACCCACGCCCTTCAGGGGTGGGCAAACTTTTTGACTTGAGGGCCACAATGGATTCTTAAACTGGACCGGAGGGCCGGAACAAAAGCATGGATGGAGTGTTTGTGTGAACTAATATAAATTCAAAGTAAACATCATTACATAAAAGGGTACGGTCTTTTTATTTTTTTAGTTTTATTCATTTCAAACGGCCAGATCTGGCCCGCGGGCTGTAGCTTGCCTACGGCTGAACTAGACCCCTATATTACACTACTCACAAAAAGTAACTCAAAATGGTTAAAGACCTGAAACCATAAAACTCCTAGAAAAGAACATAGGAAAAAAAGCCTCTGGATATTGGACTTGGCAATGATTTTTTGATGGGACACCAAAAGCACAAACAATAAAACAAACACACAGGACTACATCAAACTAAAAAGCTTCTGCACAGCAAAGGAAACCATCACCAAAATGAAAAGACAACATATGGGATGGGTTGTCTAAACTTACATAGTGCTATAAGTCAGTTACCATATATATTAAAGAAAAGAAGTTAATATCTAAAATATACAGGGAAAAAAAAATACAGTAATCCAATTAAAAACGGGCAAAGGACCTGAATAGACATTTGTCTAAAGAAGATATATGAATAGACAATAGGTACCCATAAAGATGCTCAGCATCCTTAATCTTTAGGGAAATACATATCACCTTATGCCTGTTGGAATGGCTAGCACCAAAAAGACAGGTGATAAATGCTGGGGAGGACGTGGAGAAAGAGGAACCCTTGTGCACTACTGGTGGGACTGTAAATTGGTATAGACACTATGCAAAATAATATGCGGCTCCCTAAAAGATTCAAAATATAACTACCATATAACCCAACAATCCCACTTCTGGGAATATATCCAAAGGAAATGAAAACACTATATTGAAGTGATACCTGCACCCCCATGTTCACAACAGCATTGTTTAAAATAGTTCAGACATGGAAACAGGCAAGTGTCCATGGATGAACACACACACACACACACACACACACACGCACGCACGCACACACACACACTCTCTCTCTCTCAAATATTATTCAGCAATAAAAAAGTAAATCCTGTCATTTTTAAAAACATGAATGGTCCTTGAGGGCATTATGCTAAATGAAATATGTCAGACAAAGAAAGACAAATACTATATAACATCACAGTAGGATCTAAAACGAACAAACAAGTAAACAAAATAACTCGTAGAAAAAGAGATAGGATTACTAATTACCAGAAAGGGTAGAAGAGAGTGGTTGACAGGTACAAACTTCGAGATATAAAATAAGTGCTAGGGATATAGTATACAACATGATGACTATACTTAACACTACTGTGTGCTATATATGAAAATTATTAAAAGAGTAGATCCCAAGAGTTCTCATCACAAGGAAAAAAAATCTTTTTCTTTATTTCTATGAGATGGATGTTAACTAAACTTATTTAATCATTTCACAATACATGTAAGTCAAACCTTTATGCTGTACACACTAAACTTACATAGTGCTATTAAGTCAGTTATCATCTTATCTAATAAAAGAGAAACATGGTAATTGGCGTACGACTGCTACCCTTCCCATTGGCTAATCAGCGAGATATGCAAATTAACTTCCAGCCAAGATGGCGGCTTGGCAGCCAGGCAGCTTAAACTGAACATGAGGCTTGCTTGCTTCAGTGATGGAGGACTCCAACGTTCCCCGCCTGCCACTGCAGGCCTC